TTAATGATTTTAACTTTTGCATTATATTTTCAAAATTATTCACAAAGAGCACATATTTATCATAAAATGAAAATTAAAAAAAATCAATTCTTTTTTTCTGAAGGCTAGAAAATCACCACCCGGAAGAGTTTTAGGTATATTTGATGCACTTTAGGAGTGTAGGAATTTAATGGAAAAATCTTAAACACTCCAAAGAGGTTATTTTTACATTTTATCTATATAAAACCCCACTACTGCTCCAGAATACACTGGAGTTAGTATAAATTGTAAAGTTTTGCCTGACTATTTTATTTATTAAATTTATTTTTAACTGATACTTAAAAACTAAATTTAAACATTTGGTAGGGTGCCATGTCATGTTTCAGTACATGCATTTGTTGCATATAATTTGAGTTGGAGTAAATATATCTATCTCCTAAAACATTTATCATTTATTTGTGGTGAAAATATTTTAAATATTTCCTAGTCTTTTCAAAATATATACTATATTATTGTTCTCTCTAGTTACCCTGTTATGCCATGGCATGCCAGGACTTCTTATTCTATCTAACTATGAATTAGTATCCACTTATCAACTGTTCTTTATCCCTCTCTCCCTCCTCTATTCTTCTTGGCTTCTGGTAAGCAACATTCTATTTCCAACTTCTATAAGATCAATGTTTATTATTCTACATGAGTGAGACCATGTGGTGTTTGTATTTTTGTGTCTGTTTATTTCATTTGATGTAATGATTGCCAGTCTCCTCCATGTCACAATGGACAGGATTTCTTTTTATGGCTGAATAGTATTTCATTATTTATGTATATCACCTTTTTTGTGGTTCTGGGGCTTGAACACAGGGCCTAAACCTTGAGCTACTCCACCAGCCCTTTATCTGTGCTTTTTTCAACATAGGGTCTCATGTACTATTTGCCGAGGCTGGCTTTGAAACAGGGTCCTCCTAGTCTTTGCCTCCTCAATAGCTAGGATTATAGCCATGAGCCACTGGTACGTGGCTTGATATCAATGGAAGAAAATCTGGACTCATTAAGGAGAAACTCAAAGGATGATTGTGAGACTGAAGAGCTGGGAAGTTGAAGTTTATTTTGGTGCTGATTGGTTCTCACTGGGACCTTTAGAATGGGTTTTGAAGATGGGATTATGTACACTATGAATATCCAGGGGACATCCTACACATCGTCTTCACCTTGAGCTTGATCCAAAGATTACCAGGTGAAACATTTTGTAATCTATGTAAGGGAACTTGGATATTTCTCTTAAAGCAATTAGAAACCATTGAAGGGTTTTATGTGAGGTGTAATATTTTTCCTGAATGTACAAGTGATTGACTAAACAAATGAGAGTAAGTATTCAACAATATGGCAATCTTACTTTGAGCTCAGATTTCAAATTTCAGGAGGAAATTGTCCAGATTGTCCAGAAATAAGCAACAGGAAAGAGGAGACATTTCATGTATTACAGTTCTGTTAATTTATCAACCCCTTAGATGAAGGAATAGGATTGAGAGAAGAGGAAGGTCAAGGGTTGGGCATCAGATCATCCTGCAGCTATGTGTGGTGGGGTCCATTTAGTATCCTTCAGAGAGGACTCTGAGGAGATTTTGCAGGGGGCTCCTAAGGTAAGAAAATGATTCATCAGAGTGAAAAATTGGTCTTTGTACTTGACCTAAATGGTTTGGAAGTAGATGACTGAATAAAAGAATCAGATGACTAGTGATTCAATACAAGTTCAACTTCAAATCCTAGCAGCTGTAATAATGACTCCTCACATACATCTTTTCTCTTTTGTGGGTAAATAAAACCTGTAATGGATTTGGGGCTACAGGAAGACGTGAATGAACAGAGTTAACCACAGGAGAATAAGAATCAGAGGGCATGGTAAGCCAAGCTTAATTGGCAAGAGTTGGAGTGCAGTGTGGCCAAGAAGACAAGAACATTTGGCCCAGAATAGGTGGGTGTTCTACATGATCCAATAGACTCCAGTCTACAGTTTCAGTTAATGTCACTTTTCCCTAGCCAGTCTTTAAGCTTCCCAGAATTTGAACCTCTATTTTGTCTGCTTGTTTTACCCAAGTGTCTTCTATTCTATCCTCCTGGAGAGGATGGATGGTGCAGGTGTGAAATCTAGGAGAATCAAGTATAATTTTTTATTTGTATTTTGAGACAGAGTCTCACCAGTGACCAGGCTGACCTCAGAGTTGCTATGTAGCCCAGACTGACTTTGGACTTGCAATCCTTCTGCCCCTGCCTCTAGAGTGCTGGGATTACAGGATGTGCCACTGCACCTGACTCCAGTAGGTTTTTAAAATGCTCTTCTGAATATGTTGCTTTTGCATGACATACTCTCTGGGAAGAAAGAGAAATGTGATGCTACCTGAGAAGTGTGGCTTTTTCATGTGGTCCCATTTGCTGTCTGTGCCGGCTGTGAGGGAGTGTTTCCTAGAATGAATTCAACGACTTCCTTTCTAGATCTTGTCTTATATTCTTTAACTATTGGTTTCTAAGAAATGGCTCAGTAGGGCTTGTGAGTCTTCCCTGGGAATATGGGAAAAGAGTATTGCTTTAGGGTGAATTCTAGCCTTTTTATAAACCCCTTATATCATTTTTTTCCATTGTGGGTTCTCTGAAACAACAGAAATATGTCACAGTGTCTTCTTGTGTGGGTGATATGTTGAGTAAGATATTTTTACCTTCTTCCTGGAAACTCACAGAATATAGATACTGTGTTGCCCTGGTGTGTGCATTTGCTTCCCAGAAGATGAAGAAAGTAATCTCTCCACTTAGAGGCAATTTTGTACCAATAATATTAATACACAACTTTTATGACATATTAAACAATCCAATCCACAACCTTGCTCTCCCAACTAGATACTGCTGGTTGTGATTAGATAGCCTCCTGGGACATGCTGAGTCTGCACAAGAAGAAATAAGCCAGTTACTGTGAAAGTGAAGATTGGGAGGATGGAGGATCCAGGCAAGCCTGGGCAAAAGTTTGTAATTTCCTACCTCAACAAATAAGCTGGATATTGTGGTGCACATCTGTAATCCTAGCTACATGGGAAGCATATTTACAAGGGTTGTAGTCTGAGACTACCTTATGCAAAAACACAAGACCCTATCCGAAAACATAACTAAAGTGACAAAGGGCTGGGGACATCACTCAAGTGGTGAGCACTTGCCTATCAAGTATGAGACCCTGAGTTCTCCTACCTATTGCCTCCCAAGTGCCTGGTATAACATTCGTGAACCACCACACCTGGTTTATTGTTTGAGATGGGGGTCTCCTTAAGTGTTTACAGGGGCTGACCTCAAACCATGATCCTGCCAATCTCTGCCTCCTGAGCAGCTGGGATTGCAGGCTTGAGCTACCATGCCTGACTTAATTTTATGGTTTCTATTTCTCTGCTGGTATTTTATTTCTGTTCACTTTTTAAGAACAGTTTGTAGAACATATTTTCTGTTAGTTCGTTGCACACATTTGTTATCACTGCTTTAAACATTTATCTGTTAAATTTAATACCTGAGCCATCTCAGAGTTACTTTCTGTTTATTTTTTCCTTGACTACAAATTACATTTTTCTACAAAATTTTGAGGATCAATGTGTACAATTCCATTTGTGTGCTTTTGCTTCTCCAACAAAGAAGAATCGTATACAATTGTCATCCTTATTCTTATCAATACATCAATGATCCAAAACTTGTTGAGCACTTCCTCCATCCCAGTGTGAGCTGGGATTTTCACAGGGTAACAGTGAAGAAAAAACTTTACCCTTGCACACTTGGGTGGACATGTAAGAGGTTGTTGTGAGAATTCAGAGTGCCCTGCGCAAAGCTGAAAGTCAAAAAGAATAAAGCACAGTGTGAAGGGATATAAGCCTAAAAATGGAAGTGCTTCTCCATCCCATTTCCCAAAGACAGAGAAAATATCGCTAGAGACCTCCTCCAGGTAAGTGACATCAGTAATCTAAATACGCACCAATTCCAATCCTGATCCCCAACAATGAATCAGAGAAAAATATTTTAAAAACTTTTTTGGGGGCAAGGCACAGAAGCACATGCCTGTGGTCCCAGCTACTTGGGAGGTGGAGGTGGGAAGACTGTGGTTTGAGGCCAGTCTGAACAAAGTTAGTGCAAGATCTAACTGAAAAAGAAAGTAAAAAGCAAAAGGACTACGGGTGTAGCTCAAAAGTTAGAACACTTGTCTCATAAGTGTGAGCCCTCAGTTCAAACCCCAGTACAAATAACAATAACAAACCAAAGAAAATCCTCCAAATTATCTTTCTGTTGGCAACCTGTGGTTACCTAGTGGAAGAAAGAGGTTAGTTTTCATTTTCAGATAGAAATGTAGGAGCCTGGTGTTGGTGACAGAGATCAGGAGGATTGCGGTTTGAAGCCGGCCCTGGAAAATAGTTTGCAAGATCCTATCTAAAAATACCCAACAAAAAAGGGCTGGTGAAGCTGGTGAAGTGGCCATGAGTTGAAAGAAAAAAAAATTGGGGACCCAAAAGAGGTTTGAACGTGTGACTTAAGTCACATAGTAATTCAGTCTGTTTTCTTTGTTTTTTGCTTGTATATTTGGTGGTACTGGGGTTTGAACTTAGGACCTGGAGCTTGCTGAGCAGGTGTTCTGCCAATTGATCTGTGGCCTCCAGCTCATTCTGCATTGGTTAATTTTGATAGGGTCTTGCTTTATGCATGGGTCTGCCTGGATCTATTCTCCTATTTTTGCTTCCCACATCTGGGATGACAGTTGTTTAATACCATGCCCAGCTTTTACTGGCTAAGTTGAGGTCTGGAGAATTTTTTGCTCAAGCTGACCTGGAGCCACAGCCCTCCCAATCTCCAATATCATGAAAGCAGAGACGGTTTTCTCCCCTCCTTTTCTACTCAAAAGAGAAACATACATAATTACAAAACTGTTCCATGCTCCTCAAGTCTGGTTCTCTCTCACAAGGGGGTACAGAAAGGTAACTCTGCTCCTGCCTCGCGCAGTCACCCTCCTAGGCCTCTCCAGACTGAGCTGTGCACTCCATCATCTGCCTCACAGGTACCTGAACCGCTTTCAGGAGAGCTCCATCCTTGGCCCACAGCCAACCCAGCATCAGGAGCCCCCAGCTCTTAAACCGGCTTCGTAGCAGCGAACCAAGTCCAGAGCAGCTGCCCTGAGGATGCTGCAAAACAGAGACAGCCAATCAGAGAGATGGAACACTTTCACTGTGGGCCAGCAACTCCCTACATCTATCCAGAACGCTTCCCAAACAGTGCCCCCTGTGGCCAGACTGAGAAATGTTAACTAAAACATGGATTTGGGCTTTTCTTAAATAAGTTTACAAGAGAAGTCTTTTCCTTGTTATAAGGAAGGACATAGCAGTATCACGGGGTAGAGAGAATTATTCCAGGATTAATTAGAGAAAAACAAAGAGAAAATTCACATACACAAAAATTATATATTGATATATATGTGTGTGTGTACAAGTACACACATATATGACATGGGAGTAATTTCCCAAATAGTAACATTTTCATCATACCATTTGCTTCTTCATATCCTTCTCAGTATTCATTATTGCCTTCAACATAACCTACAATCATTTATAATCACTTATAATTTTTCTACAAAGTGTTTTCTGCTTATTGTTTAATTTTACAGTTATTGTTATTTAAGTTGCATGTTCCAGCCATTATTAATTAGTGTAGTGTTGTTCTCCCAAGCTACATTTTGACTTCGTGTTTTTTTACATTATTTTTTCTTTCCTATGTTACTTTTTCTTTTACTTTATTCTTGGCAAACTCCTTACAGATCTAAATTTAAATATCAGCTAGTAAGGCAACCTTCTCTTTCATTCTGTTTCCAATTAGATGATTTTGTTAAGTGGTGCGTCTACTCGTCTCCTGGGAGAGCTTTTATTACACTGTTATAATGTACTCTATGGTAGTATAAGCTCCCTGAATGCCAAGACAATGTCTGTTTCTTTCCAGTTGTGTCTCCTGTCTGAGTCAAAAACACATATTGGACATGAAATGAATAAGTTTATTTGTGGGATCTCAAGTAAATTTCACAAAGATGATGACTTCTCATTTGTAAATTGAAATCATGGCTTTTTTGCAGTGGTTATTTGAGAATTTTATGATAATAGCACAACACACATATATTCATAACACATGGAATCATATACACATATATGACTGAATTACATGCTTAACTGGAGTTGTGTTTTCTGAAAAATATATACTTACGTATATACTCATTCCTTTAATTTTATGTACATATAAAATTCACAGTATGGTGTTTAGTTCTTAAGTTCCCCATGCTCTCTGTTGCTTGGTATGAGCTGTTTCTACATTTTTCTTATTTTTATTAGTCATTAATTATACAAGGATTTTTATGTTCCTTCTTTTAAGATCATTTCCTTCACCTCTTCTATCTTTCAGTATGATGGACTTCTACTAATTATCAGGCCTTCAACCCACATTCCAAGCAATCCTTGATTTATCTTTAAGACTGGACTGGGACCAGATCTCTCTATATTCTTTTACATCCCCCTTGCTTTTCTAAGCTTAGCTTTTGTCTCAGTTCAATCTGTCAATCAACTTTCTATGTAATTACATAGGCCATAAATTTACTAATAGAAGGTACTATGAAATTTTTCTTCAGCAGATAAAGTGTGTATAGAACTTAGCATGTATTTAGTACTTAGTGAATGATTGATTGAATAAGCATTGAGAACAATGTTAGCTGAAAATTTTTTCCCTTGTATTACTGAAGAAGGTCTTTGTACAAGATGCTGAGAAGCTGACTTGCTTGCTAACGTTGACACATCCCACCCATGGCTAAATCAATCCTAGAAAGAAGCTCTTTATGCATGCTGTTTCACACATGAGCAAAAGGAGGAGAGAACGTAATAGTTTACTGGGAATGAATGAAATGTGAAGGCTAAGTGAGTGTGAAGAGCTTGAATGAACACAATACAGATGGCACTGTGCATCATACATAGCATTCCCTTTTCTGGTATTACTCTGGGTAGCCCTGGAAGTGTAAGAAGGCATCAAACACCAAATACAAAAAAAGGAAAAGAAAAAATCAATACAGCTTCTCATTGTACCTGACATTGGCTGAGTTAAAGGCAATTAGAATGAAATATGCCCATTGGAACTGAGCTCTATTACTGATAAGTCATCTAAAATATATCTGACCATAAGAAGAGCTGACTTGTTCCCTTAGGGTATTAGAGATAGTTTTGTAAGAAACAGAGATAGATAATAACTAGTCTGATTATTCATATGCAGTTTCATGTTCTGTGAAATTTAAATGAAGTCATTCATTAAAGCTGCCTCTCTCCACATCTTGTTAGAAGACAATAACATCTTTTAAATGTCCATCATTTCTTGCTGGGTTCTACAGCTTCAACTTTGAGTTTGGGCACCGATTCTGGATGACTGAGCAATTAATATCCACAGCAGAGTTAAGAAGCTGAGTCCAATGCTGGGTGTGATGAAGTGCTCCTGTAATCCCAGCACACAGGAGGCTGAGACAAGAGAATCACTAGTTGAGGCCAGCCTGGGCTACATAGTGAGAACCTGTCACAAAAACTGAAGCAAAAACAAGTGAAAACAACAAAACAAACTAAGTATAGAGAGTAGTGCTTAACATTCTTTCCTCTTTTTCATTATTCTTTATGTTCACTACAAAAGGATCTTGGAATATTAGTAATTTTTTAAAATGTGTAAGAACTCCCCTATGTGAGATTGGTGCAGTTTTGCTCCTGGATAAGGAGGGATCAAAGAATCTAATCCTTATCAAATTCACAGCTTCAAATTCTTGTTCAAAAAGATAGAAGAAAATGAAAGAACTGACCAATCTGTAGTTTTTTACCTTGTAGTCACATCATCCACACAAGGATCTCAAAATGAGCCAAGGTGGGCAAAGCCATATGTCACCCTTATTCTGTCCAGAAATGTCTTCAGTCATGACTGAAGTCATTGTGTAGATAATGCCACAAGAAATGAGATTTCTAGAGGCTTCCCCATGCCTTCAGAAAATGTTCTTGGTTTCTATGTCTCTAACTGTAAATATCTTTAGCTTGAGAAAATCAGCCCACAAGGTTAAGTTCCAAATGTTTATTTAAATAAAACCATAGCTTCAAGCTTTTGTGGTTTGTGAATGGTGAAGAAATGCATATTATGAATTAAGAGCTTTTCAAAAACGCATTGTTCTAATATCTACCTTAAAGAGTTATTAGATCATTAGCTAATGTAATACTTACAAAATTGTTGGTATTATGCTACAATAATAAAATTTAGACATGAGTACTAGTATTATTTCTAATTTTTCCTCCTTACTCCTCTCTTGTGATGATGATGATAATGATTTACTAGGAAGTGGGGGCTGGATAATTTGAGATTCACATGAATACAAAGAGTGAGGGATGTTATGAAAAAAGGTGCTGACCTAATTAAGACTAAGAGTGAACAAAACAGAATATATAAGCAGTGTGGTCTAGCAATAAAATTCTTTTCCCATGGGAGTACAAGTTAATGATTTTGCTACTGTTCTATGTATTTACTGGAACTGAACTATTATGTAAATAAATGATGAGAACCAGGCTTGGGGATTATGGATAAGGAAGACAGGAAGCTAGCATGGTTCCAGTGGTAATGATTTAAGGTTAGGTACATCAGTAAGTACTGAGGTTTAACTTAGTATAGATGTAGAGAGTTATGATACATACTGAACTCTCTCTCTCTATTTACATATATATATATAACATAAATATATACATTCAGGTTAATGTTTACACATAGGTCTCTTTTCTGAAAGACAACTATCAACTGAGAGAATGTAAAAAAATCCTAATAAATGCAATGAACATACCTAATGCTCAGATCTTTGTGTCTAATACAGTACCATGCTCTGTCAAAGGAAACAAATGACTCTAGAGAAATGATTGAATCTAGGACTAAGGCTGGAAATGTACAAGCTAGAAAATTAGCATTTGTAGTTCCAGAAAGTAAGCAAATGATCAAAATGTGTCTTGTTGTGTGCACATCCACCTACCCACCCTCTCACACATAGACGCTGTTAGGCGAATAGCACAGGGACACTAGAGTCAAATAAGACAGTTCACAATGGTCAAAACTGGAACAATTTGAAAAAAAAGAAAGTAAAATTGTATATAACCCAACCAAACAATAAGTATCCACAAGTTCATACTGCTAAAGTAAATTATTAAATAAATCAATAAATGGGAGGAAAAAGAAGAGACAAATTCCCACTATTGAAGAATTTCAAGTAATTTATATAGATTCTTTACTTTTAAGAGGAGACAGCATAACTCCTCTCTGCTTATGTGTGTATACTAATTTTTTCCATAAAGTGCAATATGTAAAGGTTGGGGGAGAATAGAGGAGAATCCTAATAAACCCTACTTCAGCCAGATGAGCAAAGTCAGCATCAATAGTCATAAATCATAATAGTATGAACTCTTGATGTTATGTGATGAAAATAGAACTTTACCTCTGTAAAATCATAACCCCAATTTTATTACACAAATTACAAGAAAGAATACTATAATGTTCTTCAATACTGTCAACATCATTAAAAACAAGGGAAGGTCTGATAAACTGCCTCAGGCAAAAGTAACCTAAGCACAGACTTGACAACTGAGTGTATTATGATATTGTAGAAGACATCATGGTTCAGAAAAGGGACATTAGATAAAAGTTAAGAAAATCTGAACAAAGTATGGGCTTTAGTTAGTAATAATGTATCAATATTTGTTCCATTAATTCTAACCAGTAGGCTATGCAACATGTTAACAACAAGGGAAACTGGGAATGTAAATATAAAATTATTCTTTAAAAAAGTCCATTAACTTAAGTAAAAGATTCACAGATAGATGAAATAATGTAATTAGCTGATAGGATTTGAAAATATTTGTTATAACTACTTTAAAGGACTTACCAGGAAAGGGTAGTATGATTAAATAATATGAAGAATTGCTATATAGAAATGGAGTTTTTTTGATTTATCATTTTAAATTAATGTATATTAATTACACAAAATACATGGATTCATTATGACATTTTTACACATGCATAAAACTACTTTGATCACATTTACTCCCTATTATCAGCACGCATTTGCCTATCCCTTCCTGCTGGTCCCTTTCATGTTTCCTAATAGCCACCTTCTACTTTCAGGTTCCATATATTACAGAAAACATGGGATATATGTCTTTCTTAGTCTGGTTGTATCACTTAACATGAGGATCTTCAGTTTTATCCATTATCCTTAAAACAACATGATTTCATTCTTAATGGCTGAATAATATCCCATTCTGTACATATGCCACATTTTCTTTTAAAAGCAGCCAAATGTTTTTTACTGGAGTCTTTGGGTATATTTTTTATATGTAGGATCATGTCTGAAAATAGGAATAAGTTTAGCTTTTCTTTTCTTATTTGGATTCTTTTTATTTCTTTTTCTTGCCAATTGCTCTGATTATTACAACAAACATATGAAAAATTTGAAAGCTAATTTTGAAAGCTCAAAAGTTTAAATTACAAAAATCAGGAGGAAAGCCTCATCAATAAACTAAATCAGGTAGAAGAGAGAATTTCAGGGCTTAAAGACAAGGTTGATGAATTAGAACATTCTGAAAGTAATAAAGAGAAAAGAATAATAAGTTATGAACAGAACATACAAGATGTGGGACACAAAAGGTCAAAACTATGTATCTTTGTTGCAGAAGAAGTATACACTGAAGGCATAGAAAGCATGTTTTCCCAAATCTTGGGAAAGATATAAACATCCAGGTACAGGAAACATTTAGAACCCCAAATGCACATGAGGAGAAAAGAACTCCCCCCCATGATATGATCCCAATCCTATATTAACTATAAGTTAAAATGCCAGAAGTACAGAATAAATAAAGAACATTGGAAGCTGTGTGACAGAAGCATCAACTCACTTATAAAGACCAGCTCATCAGAAGAGCAGCAAATTTATCAGGCTATGAGATCTTGAGTGATATATCTCAAATCCTGAAAGAAAATAATTGCAAACCTAGATTATTACATCATCAAAGTTATCCTTCAGAATTGAAGGAAAAATAGACCTTCCAAGATAAGCAAAAACTAAATTAGACAGCAATTCATACCACTAATCCAGCAGTGAACAAGACACAAGAATCCTACATATAGAAGAGAAAGATAAACACAACCATGAGAGTACAGAAAAGAATAAATCCCACTAGATGTGTAGATAGCAAATGAGATTTAGGAAAGAACTAAACATTAGAAAAACAACAAAAGGACAGGAATTAATATACACCTTTTCATTGTAATCCTGAATCTAGATGCTCTTAATTCTCCAGTGAAATGATAAATACTGGATGACTGGATGAAAAAACAAGATCTACTTGCTGCCATCAAGAACTGTACCTCATTGACAAAGATATACACAGACTGAAAATGAAAAGATGAAAAATGATGTTCCAAGTAAATGGAACCCAGAAGCAAGCAAGAATAGACATATTCATATATGCCAAGGTAAATTAGTTAGAAGAGACAAAGAAGTTCACTTCATATTGCAAAAGGAAAACCACATCAAGAGCATATACTGATTATAAATATCTATGCACCAAATGTTGGTGCACCCAATTTCATAAAATAAACACTAGTGAGAATAAAGGAACAGATAGACCACAAAACAATAATAGTGGATAACCTCAATATCCTACTGCCACAAAGAAATAGGTCATTTGTTGTCAAAAAACAACAAAGAAACTTCAAAATGAAATTACACTGTAGATCAAATGGACTTAACAAACATCTAAAGTATTTCACCCAAGAACTGTAAAATATTTATTCTTTATAGCAACCCATGGAACTTCCTCAAAATAGATCATATTTTAGTTCATAAAGCAAGTCATAAAAAGTACAAGATTATTAAAATATTATATCTTAAGTGATAAAATGGAATGAAATGAGAAATAAACAGCAAGAAAAACTTAAGAAACTATACAAACACATGGGGATTGAAAAATACAATTTTGAATGATCTGTGGGTCACTGAAGAAATTGAAAGGGTATTAAAAAACTTCAGAGAATCAAATGAAAAATTGAAACACCACATATCAGAATCAGGGGGATATAGCAAGACAGTTCTATGATGGACAGTTCTAAGTTATAGCTAATTGTCTCAGTTAAAAATTTAGAGATACCGCAAACAATCTAATGATGCAACTCGATGTCTTAGAAAAACAATAAAAAGCCATCTTATTTGGTGAAAAATAAAACAGATCAAGTTTCTTGAGGAATATAGGTATTAAGCCCTTCAAAAATTACATGCAAACAAAATTCAAGGACACATTACAAAGGCCATATTCCTTAATAAAGTTGGTTTCATTCCAGGCATGCAAGAATGGCTTAATATATAAAAATCAATAAATATAGTACAGCAACATAAATGGAATCAGGGACAAAATCAAACAATAAGGCAGAGAAAAAGCATTTAGTTAAATTCTACATCTCTTCATGTTAAAAGCGCTAAAGAAGCCAGGTGTAGAAGAATCGTATCTTACCATCATAATGGATTATGTACAAAAAACTCACAGCCAACATTATATTGAGGGGGTAAAAACTGAAAGCATTTCTTCTAAAACCAGGAAGGAGATAAGGATGTCCACTCTCACCACTCTTATTCAGTATAATACTTGAGATTTTAGTTAGAGAAATAGTGAAGAGTAAGAAGTAAAAAACAGAAAGAAAAAGTGGAATTATCCCTATTTGCAGATGACATGATCTTATACCTAGAAAAATCTTAAAGACTTTTACAACTGATAAATTCAGCAAAATAGCAGCCAGATATAAAATCATCATAAAAAATTGGTAGCTTTTTTAATATATCAAGAATTAACACACCGAGAAAGAAATCAAGAAATCTGTCTTTCACAAAAGTCTAAAATAAGAATAAAATACCTAAAAAAAACCTAACCAAAGAGATGCAAAATCTTCTACAATTAAAACTATAAAACATTTTAAAAAGAAATAGAAGAAGATACTAGACAATGGAAAACTTCCCATGTTCATGAACTGGCAGAATTAATATCATAAAAATGGTCATATTAACAAAAGTGATCTACCTTTATAATACAATCTCCATAAAAAGCCAATGAAAATTTTCACAGTAGAAAAGGTAACCCTAGAATTCATATAGTTGCACAAAAGACCCTGAATAGTGAAAGCAATCCTGAGCCAAAAAGCAATCCTGGAGGTTTCATAATACCGGAATTCAAATTACACTATGGAGCCATAGTATCAAGACAGACATATATACCAATGGAATAGAGTAGAGGATTCAGAAATAAACCCCCATGGCTACCCACACTGTTTGAATACAACTGCCTATAATGTTTATTAACTACCTACTCGTGGAGACTCCTGACTTAATAAATGTTATTATTTTTCCCACATCTTCTAAGTTCTTAGGATGACCTGGTTCTTTACTCTTAACTTTGAGCTGTATCCACAGTGCTCAGCCCCATGTATGCACCTCAACTGAGAATAATGATAGCTGCCAATAGCAAAGATAGTGTGCACTCCTAAAGGTGCACAAGCATTCACTGAAACAACCTGCAGGAACTTAGCTTCCCCATTCCAAACATATTCCTTTCTCCCAGGATACTGGGCAGATAGGCAATCCTCACTTCAGGATCAATGGATCATTAGAGATTTATTTTTGGGCTAAATCATTAGCCTCTCCCTGAAAGTAGAAAAGGAGTATGGTTAGACTGTTTCATGCTCTGAACCTCAGGGAAATTTCTTAACTTATTTGTTATGCTTGACATGTATCAGTCTTCTTTTACTCTCACTTTGCCTCATCTTTTAATGCCTGCTCTCTCATACTACAATGAGCAATGGAAGCAAACTTGTGTCTCCTAGTCAGAAATCCAAATCAGGGGCTGTCTGGGACCCCAGCTGCACATTTGGGTACAGCTTGCAAGTGCCTGTGGAGCACTGTGTACTTCCTGCACAGAGGTAAGTGGCCGAGTCTCCAGATTGGGAGGCTGCAATGTGCAGGGAAAGATGTTGGGCTGTTGGGCACTTTTGTTGAGGAAGACTGTGAATTTCCCATCCCCATTTTTCTCTACAATTGAACATATAGATATCAGGAATGTGAGACCATTAGGAGGGTATTTTTTTGCATCATGCAAAATATTCAAATATATTATTATAGTCACAGTTCAGAATAGAAATGTCTCCTTCTTTGGCAGTCAGGGATGGAGAATTTTGCTTAACCTGCTGGTCACCATTCTTCTCTTGACTATTTATTCTTGTTTAGAAAGAGCGTAACAAATTAAAAATTTTATTCTTAACATCCATTCAGAAAACCATCAGGAGACAGAAAACAAAACTTCACAATTATCTCATTTCCCAGCCTGGTAGTATTTCTTGGAGTTTTCCTACCATATTCAAATACCCCATCCACAATTCGCTGCCTGGCTGAAGCCACAAAACCAATAATGAGGTCCCCAAGAGTTTGGCCATTCCTGATTTGAAGATGCAGAATGTCTTCTCTCTTGCCCAGGCAATTGCAGGTCTGACCGACTCCCTTCCACAGGCTTTCAAACATGACTATGGAATCCTCATTTCTTTATACCTCATTGTTGAAAGAGAAAGATAAGGCAAAACTATATATTTAGAACATGGCATGATACATGAAAATTCTTAAATGAATAAAAATAATGGTGAACAATTAGTTCTGCCGAGGATGCTGGCTATGTGGAATCAAGGAAGATCTCACAATGATGGATGAGCTATTTAGTTTGGTTTTAGAAATGAAGGAAGATTGAATAGCAGGCTATGTAGGAAATGGGAATTCCTGCAAAATATCTGCAATTGCAAAGCCAAATTACTTCTAGAGTTTCAGGAAATGTACTCAGCTCATTATGATGAGAGTTTAGAGTTCATTCATGGGAAATTTACGAGTTGATATTAGGAAGAGAAGTCACATGCAATTCATGAGGAATTGCATTAGATAAGAAGAGTGATTTTCAGGTAAATAAGAGAACTATTGAACTCAGCTGTATGTGGTGGATTTTTCCTCACTTCGCAATATCTACAGATGGAAGGATGTCTCTTATCCTGGTCCAGATTAGCTGTGAAGCCCCTGATGCTCTATTCTGAGGTGTGTCCCAGGAGGATGGGAAGACCCTGCATAGGACACTAGGTGAAGAGGGTCATCATGAATGAAAGGAGCGATGGAGAACTCTTAACCTCAACTGCAGCAAGTGAGAGGCAGAGACCTTGTATTAGGGGTAAGTAACTGGTAAGGAGATTCTACTCTTAGAATATTAATGTTGGAGCCAGAAGAGGTCCTCATACTGTAGAGTATGTATCATTAAATGATACTAAATCATATCATAAACAATTAGAATGGAGAGAACATTTTCTTGATGAGACTGATGATCTGTATAAGAACTGATGATGGCTCAGCCACAGGAGCAGGAGGCTCCTTTTGGAGATGGAAAGATTCCAAGGGATTTGGGGTCCCAGAAGAGGAGAAGAAGAACATTTTGAACTTACTGAATGCTCAACTCTCCATCATCGATCTTTGATGTTACGCTGAGGGTAGCCATCACTGCCTAAAGTGTGCTAAGAAATCATGTTGGCAGTTTTTTTTCCCTAGGGAAATAACTACTACTGAGAAGGTAGAGCTCCGTGTTGTTCAGTTTTTTTCAATAAGTTTCATGTAGAATTACTGAAGGTGGGAGACATAACTGTCTCCATTCAGGAAATTAGTTTGTTGGGGAAGGAAGAGGGTCAAATTGTCAGAGCCTCTATGTATGTGTAAAGAAACCTCTCTTCCTTAATACAGACTACTCAGGAATTTGTGAGGCATTAGAGCTTATTCTTTTGATAATTTATTGTAACAACCCAGAATTAGATTGGCATTTAAAATTTTTAAAAATTATATTGAGAGTAATTTTTTCTGAAGAAAATTTTTACTAAAAACCGCATTTCCTAAATTCCTATATGGTGACAAATTTATCCCCTTATATCTATCATTTTGCAGTAACCCAGGGGCCATAGAGTACATTACTTTTTTCTTCTGCAACTCATGTTTCTTTCTTTTTATTTATTTATTTATTTATTTATTATTGTTTTATTATTCATATGTGCATACAAGGCTTAGGTCATTTCTCCCCCCTGCTCCCACCCCCTCCCTTACCACCTATTCCACCCCCTCCCTCTCCCCCCCGACCCCCTCAATACCCAGCAGAAACTATTTTGCCCTTATCTCTAATTTTGTTGAAGAGAGAGTACGAGCAATAATAGGAAGGAACAAGTGTTTTTGCTAGTTCAGATAAGGATAGCTATACAGGGAGTTGACTCACATTAATTTCCTGTGCGTGGTGTTACCTTCTAGGTTAATTCTTTTTGATCTAACCTTTTCTCTAGTTCCTGGTCCCTTTTTCCTATTGGCCTCAGTGCAACTCATGTTTCTAAGTGCATTTTTGAAAGGATATCTTTTCCCCAGTTATACTAGGTTTTTAATTGTTCTTTCATCCAGTAAATACCTCAGCATACATTTTTTTTTCTTTTTTGTGCTATTGGGATTCAACTCAGGACATTCTGCTTATTAGATAAGTGTTCTACAATTTAAGTCATGACCTTAGTCCTTTTTTTTGGTTATTTTTCAGATAGGATATTGTGTTTTCACCCCCTGGATGGTTTGGATCACTACTTACACCTCCCATGTAGCTGAGTTATTGGTATGTGATAATATCCCTAGCTTTTTTGTTGACATGGGAAGCTCACTAATTTCTTTGCCTAGGCTGGTCTGGAACCATGTTCTTCCTGATCTCTGTCTCCTTAGTAGCCAGGATTATGAATGTAAACCACCATTCCCAGCCCATTACATTTCTTAAAGACAGAAAACTTTTCTATTCTGTTTAGTTATATTTGCTTAGTACATCATTCAGAGGATACTCAATTAAGCAAAATTTCAATTAATTCTTTGGGGTAGGGACTTAATTATAGGAATTTGACTTGATGCACTTGTGAAAGGAGTCCAAGAGTGGTTGGAGGGTCAGAGAAGGAGTCCCCAACCAGTGAGCCTGAGAAATCAGGCATTTCCAGTTGCTGAATGGGATTTGTAGGGCAGGTTAAAGGAGAGTCTCAGGAAGTTGCCTGGGTGTAGCTACCATCACATGTGTCCATCGCCAGGCTCATGACGCTGGCTGCTCAACAGGGTGAGCAACAAGAAGAGCTAGACATGGAGTGTAGGCAGGAACACGTGGACGTGGACATATCAGGACTTGTTTGTCATATCTCACTATGATAACCTTTGGACAGCGATGACTACTTTTTCACTTTTGCCTTCCATACCTCACAGAAGTTCCTCTTTGTCCAATTTTAATGTGGTATCAAACCAAGAAGAAAACTGGAGATACTGGTTCATAGTTTAATGCAGTAAAATACATTATCATCCCCTGCACACACTTGCTTAATTTGCATTCTGATAAATCTCATTTAATCATATCTAACTTCCAGATAAGACACTATTAAAACCATGTCTCTGCCTAGCAGTGATGCAACTAACCATCCTGCATAAAATCAGAAACATATTGGACCTTTTCTGCAAAGTAAAAAGCCCCATACATCACTATATATCTTTGGGTGTAGTACATTTTTCATATAATTGAGTCATTTCTCCTTTGATATCTTGTCACTTTTATACTGAGTTATAAGGATAACAAATAAAAACACTAGTTTAGAGAGCAGTAGAATGATTGTAGGGATTAAAATAAAGAAAAATAATTGTTTATTACATGCACACACATGCATGAGGAAGTACTCGTATCTACTTGAGTTCTTGTTTCTACAACTGGTCATGAGTTTGTAGCTTGTATGTATAATTTCCTCATAACTGGCTCACAATTCTCTTTGCCTTCAAAGGCATCTCACCTGCTTGGTGAGATGATGACTCAGGGATCTGTGTCTTTAGTAGCCCTAACAATATTGGTGAATGGTAGTTTTCCGCCAAATTTTATCCTGATATATGTGGAATATAGACCTAATACAAACACAAGCAATGTTGTGAAATACAGGTCACACTAAGGTGAGGTCACTAATGAGAGAGGAATAGCAAATGAAAGAAGTTAAGAAGGTGAATATGGTTGATATGCTTTGTATGCAAGAATGGATATAGAATTTATAAACCTGTTGAAATCACCATATAAAGGGAACTAAGTAAGGTAGAAAGGAGAAAAATAGAGGAGATGAATCAATTTGGATTATTAAAAAAAGTCACAATATGAAACACTTTATACAGCTATCTTAAACAAAAATGCTGTTTTTAAAATAAAAACTGAGAACAGGAGGGCAGAACAGGTTCAGTCTTGGGGTATATACCAGTGGAAAGGGGGAGGATGTAGAGAGAGTGTGTAAAAGGTGGAATATAGTGCAAATACTTTGTACACTTGTATGTAAATGGAAAAAAAATAAGACCTGTTGAAACTATTCCAGAAGTGGGGGAAGGTGGATAAAGTAGAATGGTGGAGAGGGGGGCAAATTTAACTATGATATTTTGTAAAAATTTTTGTAACTGTCACAATATACCCCAGCACAACAACAACAATAATAAAAAGAGGTGCCCCAGACACACTCTTCTTTACCACATTGCATCATAGTGATACATTTCTTTGTGAAAGCCAGTGTCAATCATCTCTGCAGTAGAATAACTCCTTTGCTAGCAGCTGAGTAGCTGGAGGAGCACATGCATTCTCTTTGTACTTTAATGTCAAGTTTGTTTTGCACATCATGGCCTCCCAGCCTGACAATCTGAGCATCTCCATATGGAATAAATGCACAGTGATTCTGAGGCATTTACAGGTTGTTCCCAAATGTGCAGCTGGGCCACATGTACTTCCTGGTTCAATGTTGGTTGGGACACCTAAGGGAAATGCAACTAACCCTTTGAGAAAGCAAAAGCAAAGCCTATTTTAAGGACTGTTCTCTTTTTCTTGTTTTTCAGCAGTTTTATGATGTGTATACATACACTTTCCTTTATTTCAGTTGTGTTTGTTTTGCTTCTTTTGTATTTACCCTGTTTGGGGTTTGCTGGATTTCATGAGTCAATGA